TCCTTGGCTCGTTTTGTAAGTAAATATTAATTTATTTATGTTTAATTTAATTTTAAAACTCTAGTGATGACTTTAAATTCTTAATATATTTATCTGAAATAAAACGGGATTTTTAACCCCTAAACTTTACCTGTATAGTAATGTTTTTAATATAATATAATTGACAAAAAAATTGCTAACCGGTTGAACACAAATAATGTCGGTATATAATAGCGTGGAATATGAGTAGGCCTATTTTATGAGGTAACATTGATTAAATTTAAAGAAACTAATTAAACACCTAATTAAATCACATTTTATACAACAATGCATTATCATCAAGTCCTGGTTTATGTGAATGGTTTTTTTTTTAAAGAGAACGGTACGGTAGAATTGTTATTTTTTTGAGAGTTTGAAAAATAGCGTAAAATACTACTAAAGGTCACCCAAAAAGCATTCGTAATTGGCAAGATAAAGCCAAGCCGTACTCATACATATGTTTAAAAATTCTTTACCTTACTATAACGTTTATAAAAGTATATGCATTTAGAAACAAGAAATAGAGAAATATACATGTTCTGTTTATCGGAGGTCACCGAAAAAAAATTGAAAGTAATCCGTGTATAAAATCGTATCAACATATAAACATTTCTTTTGAATAAATAAAGCAGTAACCAAGTTGAAGTGGTACTACCGGTTACCTGAAATCGTTTACTTGTTGAGAGAAACCCCGTCACATAATATAACACGTATGTGTAAAATTTCGACATCCTGACTTAAACAGTATGCTAGTTATTCACGTTATTATATATTGAGAAACCGGAAGTAGAGTAGGTGCTACTTCAATTTACCGTCAATTGATCAAAGGCTTACAACAAAAAATATTAATTTGATACAATACTTGTCAACTTGTTGTCAACCTAACTAAAAACGGAACTCAATTATCATGTTTCATACTTACGAAAGAAACTAAAACGTCAAAATTTGTAAAATATTGATTTAGATTGATTACATTTTTACAATACATCAATTATCTTCCGTATACGATAAAACCGATACCGTGGGTCGAGCTAGTAACGGCTATTAGGGGCAGATCATTTAGCTTTCAAACAATTCGAAACTAACAGGAGGTAACAATTTCTGCTTAATCTTTTTAAGGAAAAGGAAATGAAATGGGGGGGGGGGGGAGGTAGAAGGGAGGGTCGTGTCGAATTCACTAACTATGAAGTGCTGAAAAGTAGAAAATAAATTAAGTAAATAGCGGCGTATGATACGCCGCGGGTCAGCTCGTTACATAATAATTTAACAGACAGTTTAGAGCAGATCACTTCTGTTTCATCTTTCAGAAATTGTTGTGTAAGTTTTGATTAATTTCCTTTTTTTTTCTTTTCTTGACTGATGCTTAGCTTGTGCAAATAGTGAATGTTCGTCATTGGCATGTCACGCTGTATTTAAACCAGTTTGTGGGAACAATGGTGTCACTTACTTTAATGAGTGCTATCTCAATAAAGCAAGATGCTCGATTCCTAGACTTGCTAAACTCATTGACGGGATATGTAAAGGTATGTCAAGTAGAATGTGTTTTTAATTCATTCTTCAAATATAGCATGTAGAAAGTATTGTAATACATTCTTCAGGTATATCAAGTTGAAATTATTTTAATACATTCTTCAAGTATATCAAGTAGAAAATATTTTTTTTCCGTTCTTCAAGTGTTTTAATACATTCTTCAGGTATATCAAGTAGAAAGTATTTATTTCGATCTTCATGTGTTTTAATACATTCTTCCGATATATCAAGTTGAAAGTATTTTAATACATTCTTCAAGTATATCAAGTAGAAAGTATTTAATGCATTCTTTAAGTATATCAAGTGGAATGTATTTTGTTACGTTCTTCAAGTGTTTAAATACATTATTCAAGTATATCAAGTAGAAAGTATTTTTGTTACGTTCTTCAAGTGTTTTAATTCATTCTTCAAGTATATCAGGTAGAAAGTGTTTAATACATTCTTTAAGTATATCAAGTAGAAAGTATTTGTGTTAACATTCTTATGTATGTCAAGTAGAAAGTGCTTATTTTAACATTCTATAATCTTTGTTACGGAAAACATAAGAATAAAACAAAACTATTCTTGTCATTGAAAACATAATATATTTCAGGGAATGAATTTAAAAATCTGAAAAGTTGCCGTAATTAAGATAGGTTTTAGAGATAGGGTTAAATTTTGTTTCGCATAAATATTAAATATGTTGACTGAGTTAGTTAAAGTCAACATCTTTCGAATTATATTTAATGTATTCAATAATTTAACACCCATTGCAAAATATGTGCATTGCTTATTTCCTGGACAAATCAATTAGCGCTTTATTAATTTCGTCTTTTGTTGACGGAAATAAGCACTACGCCTAATCAACCATTATGTGAATCTAATTTTAGCACATCATTTGTTTCAGCTGTGTAATGATGTTGAAGGAGCTTCAGTGTTGTGTGATGCATCGCTTGAGAGCCTTGGGTTCCAGACTATAAAAGAAACTTTTTCGATTCCAAACGTTTGCTTGTATTCTAACTAAATAAAATACGAACACAAATTTCAACTTGAAATTTCTATTGTGTGATCTAGAGTGTTTGTTTCATTCAAAACTTCATTAGGATTAAGCCACAATAATCCTTGTCGTTTTCCGTTCGTGAACAAGCAGACTATGCTGGTGAAGTAGAGTTCTTTGTTTTAATTATCTCGGAATTCAGGCAAAGAGTTTAGTCAGCACTATGTCCAGGTGCTTTTGTTTCCCTCAGTCAGGTAACTCACAGTGTTGTGGAGCCGAATTGACGTCATGCATATTCGAGTCTTGGGTCCAAACTCTGGACTTTTGGCTAAGCAGTCGTATATTCAACCACCTTACTACGCCGTATATGTATCAATATAAAATATAAAACTATAATCATATATTTATCAACAATTTGTAAGTTTGAACTGTATAGAGAACTGGCTAAAATCATTATTTTGTATCTTCAGAAAAATTGCACATTGTCCAGTTGTTAGGGTAGGTTATTTATTTTTTGTATATTTTGATCGAATTATTTTTGTATGGTTTGTGCTAACTATAACAAAGATTTTTTAAAAATATCCCATAAAATATAGTGAGGAATTGGATAAGATGTTCCACTTCACACCATATCCGTTTAGTATCTCAGGTTAAGTTGTCATTTAATGGAATAGCTCTATCTTTATAGTCAAGTACTTAGCATGTATTTCTATTTAAAAACTTCGATCCAATTATTGATTGCCCAACATCTCACCTACATGAAGACTTTTAAACTGTATGTCATATCTGTCTACATTCTCTACCCACAGCCTTAACAACTATGTCGGTCCTGGAACAATAGCCTATTTTAGTGAAATAAAAAAAAAGATTTGCGATTATACATTAGGGATAAAAGAGAAAAAAAAATTGTTGTTGCTGATGGGTGAAATCCGATTTATCACCATTCTCCCCGTTATTAAATTCATATATATAATATATATATATATATATATATATATATATATATATATATATATATATATATATATATTTATATATATATATATATATATATATATATATATATATATATATATATATATATATATATATATATATATATATATATATATATATATATATATATATATATTTAAGTGTATATGAATACATTCAATTCATATTCATTACATGCATGTATACATGCATACATACATACATGCATACCAATATAGGTCTATAGATTGGTATACATATATACGATTTAGAGATCGCACCGCCACTTCGTTATAGAAAGAAGAAGATAGACACAGCCTTAGGATCCACATAGCTAAATGACGCGGTTAGATGATAGTGTGATGTGACCGTTGAAAAAGTTGCTGACAACAGATAAAAAAACAACCTTTTTTTTATGTCTAAAAGCTTCAATAAAATCCGCATTTGTTCAGGTTCATAACACCTGCCTGCTCTACTGAATACAACTCTACTGGGAGATGTCTGTGTGAAGATGTAGTCGTAATGTGACCTTAATTGCAGAGATGTGTGAATAAATTGTGGTAGTATGATATTAATGGCAGAGATGTGTGAAGGTCTTGTGGTGGTGTGACATTAATGACACATAGAATATCTTGTCTAAGTGTTATATTAATGTTGACTCCTATATTAAAGATTGTTAGATCATATACGAACCATGTACTGTGCAGTGTAGGGATAAATCAACTCTACTTTGGGCATCGTTGGAAAAGTTGACCCTCGCAAAATCATCGTTTCAGTTGACCCCTTGCAAAGAGCATCGTTGGGCAAGTTGATCATTGTATTAAAGATCATTTATCAGTGGACCCATGGAATTTGTATTGTTGGTTGTTTTTTTACCCCAGCACTGTAGGTATATAGTTCATGTGGTCAAATGAACCCTCTACGTATATAAAATAGGTTTAGTTCAACCTCTAAGTATGTGAGATCAATATGTCGGTGACCCCTTCATATATTTGCTACTAACAATCTGCAGACACTACAAATCCTTGTTAACAAACAATGGGTGGATAGATTGTAGGTCAGTATGTTTTTTTTCCAGCTCCATATGTGCTTACCTACCCTCTCCTAACCTAACAATTAATTCTTCCTCTAGACAGTTAGAGCGTTTATATCATGCATTATATTTAACTTAGATATTTACTGAATGGATTGATTACTGTTGTTAAATCAGTTTCTAAATTCACAATTAAAAAAACATAATAAAATAAATTATTTTAACATTGAAAACAAGAACCAACAACAACTTTCGTACAGTTGTTTTTTATTCACTGATAGCTATTGTTAAAAAACAACAGCTGTTAAAAGTAAATCAATTATTTTTCTATCTAGCCTTTCCTAGTCTGGCGGATACAGGCGCTCTCATAGTCAAGTCTTATCCAAGGCTTCTCACACTGGACATTGTTGAACAGGCACCGGTTCTGGTAGGTCCGTGGTTCGTCGCTACACACGGGGGTGCCACTTGTAGGGCACGACACTGGCACACACTGTGTCATGACGGATGGCACTGGAAGAAACGTTCGTCTGTTATGTACGGGTCAAGTAAACTTTACAGACTGGTACTGTTGCCAAGTGCCGAATTTCCAATTATTATCCAGGAATATATATATATATATATATATATATATATATATATATATATATATATATATATATATATATATATATATACTTTTTCAAACATTGGATGTTAATTGTATGAAATTGCAAATGGAAAAATACAAGAAACAGATTACATTCTACCACACCTAGTTTAACTGTTCACTTATATATATATACATATATAAATTATACGAAAATTATATCTTATATAAACAATTTACCTGTGGCGTACTTACAAGTTTTCTCACGTAACTCAACACTATGACAACAGCTACTGACTCTAGCATTCAACTTCTAACCTTTATACTTTATAGCACATAATGTTGAAAAATGGATGAATAAACGTGTTGTCTTTGATCTGTGTCGTTATGTAAAAAAGCTGATGCTATCCTTACATGTAATTACTTAAATCTCACTAAACAATTCAAACATTTAAATAACGAGACAAATTAGTCTAGCGTATTTTCACTGTGATGTACATTGTAGCCGATATTTCATGTATGCTTGAAGCTAGAAGCTATTCTTTGGAACATTCCAGCATTAAATCCCGTCGTGAGACTGTCCAACTCTGAACGGTGGAGACATATTTCATTGAGAAGTAAAGACGGTTGGACTTGAAATGTAGACAATACAATTACATGACAAAATGGAAAAGCAAAAATTATTTTTAAAAATCAACTGTGGTCTATATTTTTGAAAGCAAACTTTTTTTAAAAATCAATTTTATCATTGTTATGCTAAGACGCAACGTCGTATATTTGGGGAAGGGGTGGAATTTTAGTTATGATTTCTGAGATGAAAATTTAAAAAAATACCAGTGCAACGTTGTTTATTGTTGTTTACAATACTAACAGGAACCCTAATCGAGTTAAAAACAAAACCAATGCGTCACAGATGTTAGACCTTGTTTTGTCTTTCATTAACAGATGGTTAAGTAAATAATGAGATGCTAATTACATGTGTATGTAGATCAGATCGTGTTTATCCGCCCGTCACATTATGGAAATATCTCAGGTTTGTAGTTTAGTCTTCGTTCGAATAATTCAACTGTAAAACATAAGGACATGTAATTCCTAAACTGTTTTTTCAAACGTATGGACATACAATTCACTTCTACGTAACATAAAAACATTTACATATTTAGTGTTTGAATGTCCATCTTTAACATAAACACACATAAACACACATACACACACTAATAAATAAATAAATTTTAATATATATATATATATATATATATATATATATATATATATATATATATATATATATATATATATATATATATACATATACATATACATATATACATATACATATATACATATATACATATACATATATACATATACATATATACATATATACATATATACATATGTATACATATATGGTAGGGGTGCGCAAATTGAACCACCGTCACTGTTCGCTGTAATATTTAGTCTACATGTCTAACTATGATATGCTGCGTAGGATACATTTTCTTTCTTTTGTGCTGTCCGGATCATTCAAAAATAAATTCATTTTCTTGTACTAAACTTTGCGATTAGAAAACGAAGAGAAAATTCTATTTTAATCTAAACCAGGTAATTTGTACCATGCAATAGCGGTGGTGGTTTGGGGTGGTTTAGGGGGGGGTGGGGACTACACGCGCTACTGATTACACGACCTAATAGACATTATCTGATCAACATTTTTGGATGACTTTTATGGATGATGTTTATTCTAATTTTCCGACAACGTGCCACATCGTACAAACAAGGGAGACTAGTCTCATTTCATGAGTCTAAAATAAGTCGCACTTATCTCCCTTAATAACATACACATTAAGCACGTGTGTGCTCTACATTCTTTAGAAAAATATTTACATATTTAATTAAATTCGGCATTCTTTCAAAAGAAGAAATGTTCATATCATGTAAAGTACAAGCAAGAAGATAAAATAAAATAAGTTTTATTGAGAACATTTTTCACAATTTGGTGTTTTGTTCAATATAAAGCTTAGCAAAAAGTAGAACAATCCAGAACATAAATGCAAAACAGACTTCTCAAAATTCGTGCACTGTTATTTTGGGTCAGGTCAAGGTTGATGTTATGATGTTAGAGATTGAAAAACTTTATGTGCGGGCCTTAATTCAATTTAATTTGCCTTTGTTTGACAATTAAGTAAAAAAAATAAAACCGATATCCGTGTCTTTCTGTTAAAATCAAATATTTGTAATATTTGTATTAGTCGTATCGTTTTTAATTATATTTTACAAATATTTGTATACTGTCAAAATATATAAAATATAAACTTTTCAAAATATAAAAAAATATTTAAAAATATTTCTATATTGTATATACTTTTTAGTCAATGGAAT